GTCAGCAACAATTACGCAAAAAGCTGTTGAACTGAGGGACACACATATGTACATATATACATATAAATGTATTACAGATATACATTTCTTTCTTGTTCATCCATTTACTTACACTACAAACTTAAATTGCTTGTGGAAACGTTACTCGCATATTAAATGAGCAATAATAAAACGCTGTAGCAACGCCCGCGCACGCACAGGCAAAGAGAGTGAGAGAGAGGAACAGGAGATCGAGTGGGAGCGAGACAGCTATTGAAGAGCGAGTGAGAATATTGAGGAGAATTTGGCAAATGTAAAACATTTGCATGTGACATGCATAATTGAAACTTTTACTGCGCAATTTCGGGAGTGACTTTCAGCTACTGTTCACATTCAGCCAAATACCCTGTACTCATTGTGAGTCATATAAAGAGGACTTTTGGCTCCCCACCTGGGTATGGGACATGCCATGAGGAGTAATGAGAGATGGATGATATTTACACCAAGTTAATTTGGATGGTTAGTCAAAATAATACTATACTATACTAAACCCAATAAAAGCGGGTATATTATTTAAAGATCGTTCTGTAGCTTTTAGGCTAAATGCTTTATAATTATACCATGAATCAGCAATTGACCAAGTTGAAAATTCAAATTCTGAAGGCAGTTTTCAAATGAATCCGCAGCGTGACGACTTTTAATTGCCGTCGCAAGTCTCAAATATTCTAGTAATACTCGCTCACAAAGTAGGTAAGTAGAGTATACTAGTTTTGCAAATCCACAGTTATTTATAAATTAGTATATTCTATGTGTAAGGAATGTGTAACTGTTCAAAGAATACTGAAAACTAATATTACATAGGAATTCTGTTGTTAGCTCTGTGGGTTCATTTGGTTCGCGATTGTGTTTGAAATTAATTTGGGTTGGGCATTTTTCTGCTGGCTTTGCCTAAAGTTTGTTTAAATTTCATTGCGGAAACACTTTTTGCATATTTAATTTCTCGATTCTTCCCACTGCGCGGTGCGAGACAGCGATTTATCGTGAGAGAATCATCTATAGAGAAGTCTACTATGCTTCAATTGTGTGAGAGGGAGGTGCTGCAACTCCAATTGCTGTGGTAAAAGCCTATCGAATTAGCCAAGCTCAGCTTTGACCTTGCCCAATTCACAATAGCAATACGAACAGCATTTTTAAGCCACATCCGTTGTGCCTGAGACTCATGCCATTTGCAATTATCCACACTTTTGTGTACGATTTATCACTCATTTATTATTCACTTTTGATGTTTTGGAAATTATTTTGAGCATGACTTCCCGAAAATAGAGTTTGTAGTCATCAGTCAACGTTATCGCCAGTTTCCTGATCGAAAGTCACGCGAATCGATACACATTTATAGGTAAGTGCAATTGCTCTATAATGATCGCATTGAGCAAGTGCTTGCTGAAGCAAGGCACTATTCACAAGAGAAAAGAGAGCTATATATTGACATTCAGGATATATACATGGATATATATAAAAAAGCATTTATAAAATAGATCTTATGATAGTTATATAGATTTTTATTTGTCGATATAAATTCTCAAATGTCACTGCAGTTAAGCCCCTGACAATATTAACAATATATACATATGTAGAACTTTTATATGTACTCTTTATACACTGCAGTTAACGCCTTCAGGAGACACCAGAGAATTGTACCACCAAAGAGAATATATGTATATAAGTTTATCTCGCCACAGCTACTAATAGTTGTAGTGGACAAATTTATACATAAAGGAATTCGGGTCTTACTGTCCCACAGGATTAAAACAAATTGATGATTGACCTCCAAAGTCATCTCGACTTTAGGATCTGAGAGAGTTGCATGTCGCATTGCCTTTCAATTTCAATTTTAATAGTTTTTCGTACTTCATTGCCATGCATGAGTCAGACTTGACCGTATGCCATATGGATGCTATATGCATGTACATACATACATACATCATATATCTGTATGCTGACGCTACAGACTTGACGAGCAAACAAAGCCGAGTCATTGTGAAAATAATTACATATGTATTTACGTATATGACACACGCATGATAACTGACTTGTGGGTGGGCGGGGCAAATAGTATAACTGTCAACAGAGAGATGACAACACCCGCTAGACCTGACATCATAGGCGTATCTACATTAACATTATAATGTGTGCAGCTTCTCAGTTAGTCTCTGACTTTCGCTTTGCACTTGACTCTTGTGCAAGTGCAAATGTCTTTTGAGCTGTTGCTGCTTAAATGCCAATGCGTGTTATCGACATATTTAATTTATCGCAGCATTAAGTTGGCTGCGCTGCCAGAAGCAAACACGCACGATCTGTAAACATTAACCAAGTATCTCTTGCGAAACTTCAAACAAAAAAGTGATTGTGAAAACCAACAAACACAAAGGGCAATTCCAAAACCAAATAATGTTGTTGCAAGCGTGTTTACAAAGTTTTCAATATGTATATGAAAAAAAAAAAAAAACGAATATAAACAAAACAATAACAAAAGAAGAATTTTATACTTAACACAAGCAAAACTCGCAAAGCCTCATTAAGTGCAATAAAATTGCTTGAAAAATGATCCCAAATATATTTATTAGCTGATATTGTCGCCTCTCGGGCCGGCTGTTGTTATAATTGTATTTATATGTTTATTGTGAGGAGTATGTGCATTGTAATTTTTGAGTGCACAAAATAAGCATAAATTGTGAAAGGGTTGGCTTTAAAAATAAAAGTTAATGATCTGCCGGACATGAGTGCAAAAGCATCCTCATAAACATCAATGATTCATGGACAGTTGTTTGTTTTATTTATTTGCATACCCTATAGCTATTAAAATGGGTGACAGGGTACTGAGTTTTAAGAGACAGATTAACTAATATGTGTACATAGCGATATATCGAACGTTCTTTCTAGATAGGCGCAACTTCTTCCATGGACTACGATATGTCTTAAGCAGAATTTGAAAACGTCACACCTAGTGTTGTCTAGGGTATCTCTTAGTTGGCACGTCTGGCGTTTGTCTCACACACACACACACTTCAGTCCGTAAGTCGATGTAGGAGGCGTGCTGTGGGTGTGTGTAAAATGCGCAGTATGCCAGCAAATAGACGATAGCTTACTTGGCTATATTATCGCTTTAGCTATGGATGAGGTAATTCTCATTAGGTTGCGCGAATTGCCATACGACTAAAGAACTAATTAAGCGATGCTCGAAACTAAGTAAATGAAATGAGGAAGACTGCATTTGCTATAAATAGCAAAAGACGACGAATCAATGACATTGAGCATAGTATATATTGACAACTGATTTGATCGATTTTCTCCTATTATCGGTAATAGTGGCGATTCGAACTAACTTGCAAGAAACACCAACGAAGAGAACACTTGAGCAGGATAGGGACCATACTATTATATTAATACTAAGATTTTTTTTAAAACAAAACATACAAATTATGTAAATATATTT